TTCAAATGATCACTGATTTGCAGAAGAGGTGCAACGATATGTCTCAGAGCGAAATCAAACTCCGCACAGAACTGGGCGTATATACCGGCAAATACGAAGAGTTTCAGTCCGTTTTGACCAAAAGTAACGATATGTTCGCCGGCTTTAAGAAAGACATGGAAAGGATGTCCAAACAGATCAAGAGATTGGAAAAAGAGACACTCCTTTGGAAGGGAAGGTGGGAAACGAGTAATACAGCTCTACTTAAACTGTCCGATGAGGTATGTATTAAATTACATGTCACCACTAATTGTCAATTGATATGTGAATACACTTTTTAATCACTTGATCCGATGGCAAACAGAAACAAAAGCGCGATACCGAACACCTGAAGGCCTTACAAAAGATTATTACATTAGAGAAGTTGTGTCGCGCGATGCAAGAGGAGAGGGCTTTACTCCACGAACGGCTGCTTCAGGTCGACACTGACAGCGAACTCGTCGTCAGTTCCGGTCAACCAAACGGCGAGACTTCGGAGACGGAGAGTGCGGCACAAACGCCAACCGAACCATCCATACCTCTGGTCCACGAGACCGACGGCAATACGGAATCTCAGCCATCAATCAATTAGACTCTGCTTTGCTTTTGTTCAACCATTTTCAATGCGCCACTGAATCCTTGTTAGAAGTGCTTTCAAAACATGTAATTCCGAGCCATAGACTAGTGTTAGATTTCATATAACGCTCAGCAACTGATAACCGCTATTTATTGAGTCCATTATCGAGTGCCTTAAATACTGTATTTAACTTTTAACGGTGTCTTAAATTAAGTGCAAATAATAAACACAATCCTTATTTCCAAAAAATTTATTTTCGATTTTTATGGTTATAATAATCAATACATTATTGTCTATCTTCTGGAGCGCTTTAATGGGCTTTATTAGCCAATCGTTTGTCACGCTCTTCGGCGACAGTCAATCGGACACCTCTTCCTTTGGGCAATGAAATGAAGGGTTTGGTTCCCTTTCCGATCACGAATATATACGCCAATCTACACATCGCATACAATACATACTTATGTTAACAAATGCATCACAAATACCATTTCAAAGTCAGAGTAGAAACTACTCATCAGAAAGACTAATCAATAATCATATAATAAATCAATATTTGGACAAAACTCATCAGATAATAGACAGCATAGGGGGAGAGAATATGCGGCAAATAATGTTCACCTGGTGGCAAAAGTGTGTCCCTGGGAGTCCTTCACGTGCACGATATCGAAACTTCCCGGATGTCTCTCCCGACTCGTGATGATCCCCACGCGACCCAAATTGTGTCCACCCGTAACCATACAGAGGTTTCCCGTTTCAAACTTAATGAAGTCTAAGATCTTTCCGGTGGCGATATCGAGACGAATCGAGTCGTGAACCTTAATCAACGGATCCGGGTATCGGATAGTGCGGCCGTCATGGGTCACAATGAAGGGAATGCCTTTCGGACCCACCGACACCTTCTTCACGCGACACAACTTATACTGCATTTCAAATACAAAATATTAATTCAATACTCCTTTTCGCTAAACAATGGATCAGATGAGTGATACCTTCGCCTCTTCACCAGTGATCTTATGCAGAGAAAAGCGTCCCTTAATGTCGTACAAGAGTCGGAAGAAATCTCCGGTCTTCTCAATGGTCACCACATCTAAAAATAAGTCATATTTATTAATATAGTTTTGATGTGAAATCTTTGGGTAATGCTTAAGACATAAACAAATGGTCAGTAATAAGCGACCGAAGACTTAATGGCATTACTATTGGCCTTAAATTGAACACAAATACAGATTGAATTGAATATCAGTGTCTTCGATGGAAAGGCCGGTCACAGAGCGGGGATCAAGTGAGTGAAAACATACCCATATATCCGGCCGGATAGTTGATGTCAGTCCTGACGCGACCGTCGACTTTGATGGTTCTTTGCATCACTATTTTGGTCACTTCGGTTCGGGTGAGCGCATACTTGAGACGATTCCTCAACATCACCACCAATGGCAGCGATTCCCGCAGTTTGTGGGGACCGGTCGAGGGTCGGGGAGCGAACACACCCGACAACTTGTCTAACATCCAACTCTTGGGCGCATTCAAGCGCTTCAAGTGCTTCTTCGGACCGCGAGCCTGAAGTCACCGACAAATACAACAAAACAATCAGTTTTCAAACCAATTAAGCGGTCGAGACATCCATTCAATGGTATCGTCGTTTCGGGCGCTTATTGGCCGACACCATGAGGTCCAAGTGGTGGACCATCTGAGGCCCGAAACGGATCCAATTGAGTGAATACTCGGCAAAGAGAGACAATTCATACCATTATTTAATGTGTAGACAAAGCGGAAAGGGATGTGAAATGAGTGCAAAGGCATGAACTGCACTGCACTCAGAGCTCACGTGTGTTAACACGAGTGCACATCAATTACGGCCCACTTTTCCTCCCTTTAAGTCTGGGTCTCAAAAACGTCTGTATTTTGCGCTTATTTTGTACACAAAATGTTGCGATCGTTTCAAACGGGTCTTCAGTTGCCGTTAATTGCAATGAAATGCAGTCATTGCCGACATATGGCCACCGCTGCCCATTGGGTGAGTCCCTCCGTACTGGCCGTCATCGGCGGTTCACTCATTGTCTGCGTTTTTTAGGCCAAAAGCCGTCAAACAGTTTGGCCCAAAGACCTGGCGTTACAACACTTCGACAACTTTTACGCCAAAGTTTACGGCAATTCTTGGAAATCGATTCGTTTGGGTCTTCTGTCGGCCAATAAGTACTGTGCGGTCGTCAATGTGTTCGCCGATTACGAAGACATCGAGATTAAGATGAGACAATTGGGTGCCATTGATATCAGACAGTACTACGAAAGACATCACAAAAAATATCAACGCCTGAAAAGACGAATGGAGATATTGAACGAAAAGAAGGCCAAACGGATAGCAATGATGGCCGAAGAGGCCGGAGTGGATGTCTCACAAATAGATGCCGACAGTGTTGTGGTGAGTGATGTGAGCGATCGAGAGCTCGGCAGCGGTGGCTCATCCGTGTCCGACGCCGAAGACATTGTGGAGATGTTGTCACAGAAGGAGGGCTCCGAAGAACGGTTCATAAATATGGCCCGAATTGACGTCGATTTGAATGATTTTATGCCAACAGAAGAGCTCCGGTATAGGGAACCCATTGTGACGGAAAAGCCGTATTACGAGTTCTATAAGACAGATGTCGACATTCCTGTGGAACGGGTCGGAGAACCCAAACTAGAAATACCCGAAATCCTTAAGATCTACACTTATCCGCGCGGAGTTATGTCCACTTTTCCGGCGCCCAAACGTCAGGCAGCGCTCGGAGTGTTGGACTACTATCTGATGGACGCCGCGTCCATTTTGCCGGTACTGGCGCTCAACATTCAGCCCAACGACAATGTGGCCGACTATTGTGCCGCTCCCGGCGGTAAGGCTTTGCTAATGGCGTTGACATTACGGCCATCACATCTGCTATGCAATGATAAGTCTATGTCAAGAAGTTCTCGTCTGAAGAACGTATTCAAGGCTTACATCCCAGACATAGATAGCGTTCAGAAGACACTGAACTTTAGCGAAGAAGACGCGCGACAAATGATAAAAGTGGACGCGTATGACAAGATCCTAATCGATTCCGTCTGTACTAATGATAGACAGTCGGTGTCCGAAAACGATAACAATTGGTTCAAACACTCGAGACTAACGGAGCGAATAAATCTGCCCGAAGATCAGCTGAGACTACTGTTCGCGGGCCTGAGGTCTGTGCGAAGGGGCGGTTCTGTGGTCTACTCGACGTGCAGTTTGTCTCCCATTCAAAACGATGGCGTCATTCATATGGCACTCAAACGCATTTGGGAGGAAACCAATCAACTCTTTGTCGTCTCAGAACTTAAGGAAGCGTTCAGACCGTTGAGAGGTCTCTACAGAATGAATAACCAATTCAAGTACGGCACACAAGTGGTCCCTTTCATGCCATCCAATTGTGGACCCCTTTATATCTCCAAATTAAACCGAATTCAATAATAAACTTGTAATAAACACTTGTATTAATACATAATTTGTATTTTAATGCAAATAACGATAAAACTAGTCATTTGTAGTAAACCTATTGATCACTTCCTCTCCGGTTCTAAATCTTTCTTGACATTAATGGCGAACCCGTCGTACGGATCGTCGGCATAGTTCTCGATCGTCAAGACTCGGAATTTGCGAAATTTGCCCACAATTCGGTCCCTCGACGACAACTTGTCCTCTATATTCTTGATCACTACTCGCGAGATATCCAACAGATCCTGATTGTCGACATTGAAGCCGCGGATCAGATCTATTTCGTCCTTCTCTGTCAATTCGACACTCTTTTTGGCCACTTTCTGGCCGTTGACTCGTATGAGTCCCGCATAGAAGGCTTCATCGACTTTGCCACGAGCCATATTGAGACCCGCTTTCAACACATTGTCCAATCGTAATGATATGAGAGTCACGTCTAAGTCCTGGAAACCGATGGCTTTGCCGTCAATGAGGTCGGCGTCCATTTCCTC